CTGCGATCTTTTCATCGTAGTTACGCGTACCTACGTCGTAATTTTCCGCAATTACGGGTCACAGTGCGATCGCAGTTACGGCGTAACTGCGCCACAGTTTCATCGTAATGAAACACATGGGTATGCATAATTGATAGTGATTAGAAGAATAACTTCAGATATGCCTATAGGAATAGTAGTAGCAGCTAAAATAATAATAAGCGTTTGGGAATTCGACGTGGGTTGTTAATCGATAGCAGTTGTTGTCACATGAGAAAGATTTGCTACTGAAGGTAGTTCAATATTTTCAGTGATTATACTCGTTGATATTCCAGTTGGCATCGATTTTGATGTCGTTGTTTTTTTTGCAGCATCAGTTATTATTTCCATGGTTGTCGTACTTGAATTTATTACATTAAAAATAGGGCTTGACATGACTGTAGTAGAAAGCTAAAAACAACACAGCAGAAATGTTCAAAAAAAAACAAAAACTATTTTATTGAGATATGTATCGCTACTTAAGCTATCAAAACGGTATCATAGGAAAAATGTCGGATTTCAATATGACAAATAAAAGAAATATTCACTTGTTCTATATTTTCAACCATGGTTAATTATTGTTTTTAGGATTCATATATTATTCCAATGTTGGTATAATTAGAAATCATTTTCTAAAAATTTCAGGCTTCATGCTGTAAAACGACGCTAATTTTAGAAAATAATTTAGAAATAAAGTCAACCAAACTGTTTTATAAGTATTTTAAAGGATTGAATCAAACATGATTCGAGCATAACTATATGGTCATGATTGTAAATGTACAGTTCAACACAATTTAAAAAACAAAATCACAACTCAGATATTGACATTGTAAAATATGTTTATTGTAATCTGCTTGTAAATTGATTTATATTCACTTTCGTCGAAGACGTGACCTTCAGAAAATGAATTTTCATTTAGTATTGACGAAAAATTCAAACGAAATAAGAAAAAAAGTATATTTTCTCTATTCCTGAAAAAATTTAGTAAAACAGTATCAGATAAAACTAACAGTTTACTTATGCAATATATCTTCAGATTTCGCACTTATCGATGTAATGGTTTCATCACTGATGATTGTCGACTTATCAGTAGTAATCTAAAAGATGGAAATTCTCTAAATTTTCATAGCTGTAGAAAGGTACAGAATTATAACTATAGGTGATTCCATTGTGATTGTCATTGATGTTTCTGATTCACTATGATAACAATAGAGAAGAATAAATAGAAGAAAATAATCAGAATAAACGTTTAATATTACGTCGTTCTTATCGGAATAGTTGATTTTGATACTCCATTTACTGTAGTTACAGTTACAGATACGTTAGCTAAAAAAAACAAAAATTTATTTCGTATAAATTATTTAACAGATGAGTCAAATTACAACAAAATCCTTGTTGTATTGAAATTTCATCAATTCCAAACAAAGACGCTACAGCGCCGATTCTCTGAAAATCAAAATAACTCTAGATGAAAATAAGCATTATATTTAGCATTCCAATTCAAGACACACCTAAAAATAAATCCTCACCATATCTCCAGACTTTTTAGCTTGAAAATTAATTTTTCATTGTGACCATCCATTGAATGAACTATTGGTAACATAATCGATGATTTCAGTTGTAAAATCATTCTCTACTTTGCGTAATGTGATACTCATTTGAATATCGATTCTTTTGGTATGTAATAACAATAAATAATACATTTGTCATATATTCCATTGATCCCACCTGTTCTAGCTTTAAGAGGAACTGCGTAGACATCTGCATTGAACAATCGTACGTGCCTAAATCGACTTAAAATAATTATATATTTATAGATTCTAAAATTGTCAATAAACTCTGCAATTATCTGAGGCACATTTGCTGTTGGACAAAAGTCCTTATTACAGAAATACATATCCCAAGTGTAGAGGTTGATTTTATAGGAAAGTTTACATAATTCACCATTTTCTTTTGATTTCGCTTGAAAGTAAAAAATATACAAATGATTGAACAAAGCTAATGAACAAGTCGATTATAATTTATCTCACTAATTGATGTTACATCTGATCAAGGAGTAACTAGTTAGTGTAGAGTTGTCAAAATTCCATTCGAGCAATATTTGTGAGAAAATGATGGCTGCATAGCTATGAACTAAATGGAAGTATCCTGAATTATGTTGTATGATTTTTGTTTCTCAACATTTTGCCAAGCAAGAAAATAGTTACTTGTCGCAGCATTTTTTTAATTTTGCACGAGAACAAGCAAATTACTTTACTGGTGTTTCATTGTGCAATGATACTTTATTCTGAAAGCTACAAAATCTCTCGTTTAAGAAAAAAATAACATATTTTTCTTGATGGCTTATTTTGGAGATGTTTTTACATTTTGACTCGAAGCTTATCATTAGTAAAAGCTGATTTTTGTCTTGTTTTCTTTTCTGCCTAATACACAATGTGCTTTTAATCAAGGCTACTTTAGTCTTATAAAATGGGATGTTGCCTGTAAGAAAATGTTCTCGGAACTTTCCATTCAATGAATCTTTTATTGTGCTCAAGAACAATTAAAATTTGCTTATATAATGGAAAATGAAGAGTAACGCAAAACGTGTTTACTGTCAATTTTGAATAGTTCGACGATCTTTATGTCTGTTTTTCCAAGATGATGACGTTTTGCAATTATTGATTGGTTGTACTCGCTGAATCAATGACATTTACGGACAAAAATGAATTTACAACGCTTTGAAACAGTTCTTGTATCTTATGACTTTATTGAAAGTGATTAAAATACAAATCTAATAAAGCAACATCACTAAGAAAAACAAACTAGTTTGTGTCCTATTTTCATGGTAATCTTATTCATTACTTTGTTACTTGCATGCTGTTCCAGGCTCATAATGTCTGTTTGAACTATATACTTGAATGCATTGTCGTCTCACAAAATATTAAAGAGAAAGAAAGAAAGAAACAAGTATATACCTCGATTTTCACAATTGGCTATAATGACTACAACTAGTTCGTGATAGAGCATATAATCATATTGGTATTTCTCGCGTAAGGAATTAAATTATCTTGTTTATTGATTGAAAAAAAATCCAGGGATGATCTTCTTGTATAGATAAACTGATGCTAAATAAATGACTTATTGATTCAGTTCATTTTAATAAAGCAGCAAAAAATATGTTTTCCGAACACGAACATGTTCAATCGTTTTGTCTTATTTTCTTTATCATGACAAGATCATTTGTCTTAGCATAAACATTCATGCTTTGACATGAAAAATGATAAGAATATGACATCCATCTGGTATGCATCGAAATCAAACGAGGATACGATCCATACGCTTGATATGCAATAAAAAGTGAAAATATGAGTAGAACATGATGTTTAACCATTTGCAAGGTGACGCACTTTTTCTTCCTTCATTTAAACATACTTGAACAATTGAATCGAGAAATAAAGCAATCTTTTTAAGTGTTTTTATGTATAATGATTAAAACATTTTTCAGTATCTCATTCACAAACCTATCATAAAAGGAAAAGTTTTGTCGAATTTACATTAATGAAAATAAAAAGAATTTTCTACGAGTTACAAAAGAAAATAAAAAGAATCACGTAGATCTTCTAGATCTCTTCTATGATAAAAAGGAAATAGATGTTTATTATCGCTAGATCGAACGATAATTGACTATGAGTAAACAAGAAATCGTTGATTTCTTTTGCATTCACAAGGAAAGAAAACCATCTTCGAATGTGCCTCAATAACCTAAGAAAACAGAATTCTATTGATTTGCCTTGTTTTTCTTCTTCTTCTTCTTCTTCCTCAACATTTATCAAACTTTTAGTCATTGGCGTATATTATTGTTTCAGCTTCATGCATAATGAAGCCGATCGTCAATCAAAATCATACATTTACATGCTTCCAGACATTGTTGGCAGATGACATATTTTCTTTCGCCAATATTATGCTAGGGTCTGTCGTTTGCATTTATCCGTATGCGTATTTTTTTCTGATACTCAAGTATAGTAAGATGAAACTTCTCTTTCTTGTTTATTTTATCAGGAATTTAATCAATTGTCGTTTTTATTCATTCTTTGAATTTCTTCAGTAGCCACCTATGGAGAATATGTTTAATACACATGCTTCGACAAGCAAAAAAGGCCTATGAATTTCTTTCTCTCTCTCGCGCTTTTTCAATTACGCCATAGAATATATATACCGAAATCCTTCGCTTTTTTTAAGCTTGACGTATGATAGAGAAAAATCGTTCTTTTTTTCTATATAAAACCGAGCTCAACGACAAATGAACCGATGAAGGTTACCATTGATTTCAATCATAACTACATTGTTTGATACATATATTTATTGATCAAAAAACAAATAAACAAAATGTATGAAGGATCCACTTTAATAATCATTTCAAGAGCTAAAACATTATGTTTGTCACCATGGTGCACAAAAAAACAATGAGTCATATACATGCACTTTTAGAAATCGTCATAGAGTTACTCGAAGTTACTGTGCCTCAGTACTGCGTAAGAAAAACAAACACGGCACGTATTAGAACACACATGGATGACTCATTGTTTTTCGCTTGTATCCATTTGATTTCTTTATTAACAATGAATTAGTAGGTAGTGTTTGATACGTCGTGATTAATCACAATGCCAGCACTAAATAAAATTGATAATCACAATAATCCTAACTATTTAAAACAATATCAATACTGCATTACGTAGATCACATGAATCTTATAGTATGAGTAACATGGGGATGTTTCTTCAGTACAAAGGAAAAAATGCTTACGATGCAGAGAGACGAAAGAAGAACAAGGAAAAAAAGCAGAAGAAAAGGCCAACAGAAAGGAAGAAAAAATAGCAGTAGAAATAACATGCATGATTCTGAGGAAAAGAGAAAAAAGCCTAATATGATAGATGAAAAAAAAGGACGTTTGAGTATGACGTTGCGAGAATTATTTTGTTTTTCTTTTCTGATGATCAAACTCGATAGAGTTGAATGTCTAAACATTAAGAATGTACGCAAACGATCTTTCAGCACGTAAACAGTACCTTAACCGCCAGTAATATATTCTTGTTCGATTCAATTTGTAACTCAGAACAAAAAAACGTTGATAAAACATTGACAACAGTGTGTGTAGCTACTTAGTCGTGCATAACATTTTTGTTCTCGTTGGTACGTACATAAAAAAATAATATGATAAATGCATCTGCATATGTACATAGCTTATGTGAAGTTTTCATGCAGAACGTTTATTCGTTCGTAGTTTTTATCCATTCTATGCCATTGGTATATTATTTTTTGGCTCATCTAGATGTTTCTTCCTTTGTTTAGATACTACTCTCTTATGTTAATTATCGATTGCATGAATAAATAATATGCGTTTTTACAATCCATTATACACCCGAAAATGGTCTAAAATATTGGCACCTTTTTCAACATTTATTACTCAATTAGGTAATTATTATATTTAGATGTTTTATCATTATTTTCAAGAAAATTCGATTATATAATAGTCCTTGGTCTTATTCATGAATAAATAAATATTTGTTTTTTTATCTATTGATTCGGGGCCATTTCAAATTTATTTTGCCATAAAAATAAGAAATTAGTTTTATCATGAAATGATTCATTTGTTACTGTTTTGAATAGGAGAACATATTTAAAAGCACATTATATTTTAGGTAAACAACTCGGTTTACAATCAATCTTAGGTAAAAATAGCAATGATGATTCGTCAATTAATATGGATTCTTTGTCCAATGAACATCTTCTTCCATCGCATCATGATAATGATTCAACTCCGTCCATGAATATTTTATCGACATTCTTTTCAACTTTCACATCACCATCACGATCTCGTACGCGATCAAAGTCTTCATATGGTAAACCTCCACATAATTCTAATACGAAAGTTTTTAAATATTATAAAAAACAACGGAATGGTGATGCCAAATATCATGAAACAAATACAATTTATCATCAACTTAATATTCATCCAACAAATGATGAAAATAATAATCAAACAAAAAGAGAAGTCAATCAAAATTCAGTTACTATCGATTTATTTCCATCAAGTCCATCACAATCAAAAGAATCTTTAGTCGGCGATGACGATCTGAATAAAACTAAATATATATTGACAGCTGAACATTTTATATGGATTTTTATATTAACAATATTCTATTTCACTTGGTTTATGTTCATTGCTGGAATATCGATCATACCGATCATTATATATTTAGTTCTAATGACTCTATATTTATTATCGGATCGTACAAGACGTTTTGCGCTGGCAATAATTATTTATTTCACATATTTATTTTTATATGATGCACTACATTTAATACCAAATTATACAGTTTCCCAAGTACACATACGTGATGTGTATTCTATAGAAAAAAAGCTATTCGGTGTTTTTCATAATGGACATTTAATGACATTAAATGAGTATTTTAAATTACATCATGTGCCTCTATTGGATATTTTTTCTGGATTATGTTATCTTAGTTGGTAAGACGCAAAAGAAAGAAAAAGTGCCACTTAACTACTTATTTGATAGAAATTCTACTTACATAAGAATGTTTCTTTGATATTTTCAATTAAAAATGTTATTCGATATGTTTGAAGTCAAAATTGAAAGACGCGTTTCGTTTTCTTCGTGATTTATTTGAACTAGAATTATACGAAATATGAGTTTTTTATAAGCTATAATATGATATTCGTGATGTATTTACAAGAATTTTGAGAGACAAAAATATATATTCAATTAGATTTATTCTTCGCGTTTTGTAACAAAAAGAGAAAAAACAAATCATTGAAATTTTCTCATATGATAATGAAATTTTCACCGTCTCTCAGCAATGGTAATTTTTTTTTATAAAGATATTCATTTTACAGTCATTTTTTGTTTTTGTTCTGCTATGCCTACTGTCAGTTGATATATATTCATCATAAATTCGTTCTTGAGAGCTGACATATATTTTATAGTTTACTTCGTCATGTCAGTTAAAAATGAAAAACAACTAATTGAATAATTTAGAAGACCACAAAGATTTCAACATCAGTAGCTTTCAGCAGTTCGGTATTAAACAAAAATCTTAAGACATAGATCCGGCTGATCGCACTGAATAAGCTATAGTTAGGGTAAAAGTTAAGTCTAGAATATATAGAATCCATTTTTTCTTACACATAATCTTAATGAAAACAGAAATATGTAAAAAGTACTTTGCGCATAGTTTATTCAAATTTGTGCTAATTAAATAGAGAAGATAAGCATTGAGATCTATTTTGATTAGACAACTGATCAATCCATTTATGCGTCAGGGAGAAAGAGTACATATTTTCTTAAATAGTCGAATCTTTTAAAAGTAGAAATATGTTAAGAATATTTTTTCAGTAATTTTAGAATCATCACTGAATAATATTAGATTGAACTGGTTCAGTTAATTGAAGAGAACCTCTATAAGAAATCATGCTAATTATTATTACAGGATTTTCCTATCTGAATAGTTATGTTAATGAAGTATAGTACCATTTTCTGAATTCTTAATTAAAGATGATTCCCCTAATGTTCTTTTATCATGAGTGGAGTTCTTTCTTTTAAATACTGCAAAACATCATTATTTCAAAAACTTTTCTTTTTCTATTTTTAGGATTCCAATACCAATAGCGTACAGTCTTTATCTCTATCGATATAGAAATAAACGAGATTATATCGATTTTGCACTAACGTTTCTTCTAACAAATATTCTTGGCTTTGTTATCTATTACATCGTACCAGCCGCGTAAGTTTCTTATTTCATTTAATTTTTATTATCATCCTGAAATTGATTCTATTAGACCACCGTGGTATATTGAATTATATGGATTTGATATGAATATGAAAGTACCTGGTAGTCCAGCTGGTTTTATACAGTTTGATAAACTAACAGGAATAAAAGTATTTTCATCAATGTACTCGAAAAATGCTAATGTATTTGCAGCCATACCATCGTTACATGCAGCTTATCCACTTATAACAGTTCTTTATGGGTCATTAAGTAAAAGACTTTGGGTTCATATAGGATTTGTCTTATTTACATTAAGTGTATGGTTCTCTGCCGTATATTCTCGGCATCATTATGTATTAGATGTACTTGCTGGTGGTTCATGTGCAATAGTCGCTTATATACTTTATCGTCTCGTATCACGTATACCAACCATCAATCGATTGCTCGTTGCATACAGTAAATTAATCTAGAGACACTGTTATTATTGGGAATCTTTTTCTTTTTTTAATTTTTTTTGACGCATCCATCAAAAGCATAATGTATCTTCATATGTCAATGTCAGATTCCTGTTTGGACTAGGGACTAAAATATTTGATTTTTTTTTCAAGAATAAATAAATTTATGCAATCATGATAATTTCATTGGGCACTTTATTTATATAATAAAATCAAATATTATCGCTTAAATAACTCTGCAAGTTGTTTCTACTGTCAAGAATCGAGCAAGTCGTAAATTGAATTTGTCTTGTCTTGAGAAGAGAAAATCTCGATAATGATGCATTCGACTACAAAATTTTTAGTTACGTTAATAATCACAATATTTTGGAAAGTTATATGAGGTCTTGTCACATCAATTCGGAAAAACATCAAAGTCAACTACTGTAATTATAAAAGATGCATGACGATGGTTAAATTTAGATCGACATAATTAATGATGTGAAAATGATAGGTAGAAGTTTTTTTCAGGAACTATTTGATTTTAAAAGATAAAATATCTTGTTACATCAGCGATGACAAGCTGAGATTGTTCTCTTTCGTAAACAAAGAAAGACAACATGGGTTTTGTTATCAATAAAAACTTTTATAATATTTTCAACGATAAGAGAATATATGCAAAGCATACGTATTAGTGAGTATCAAAATCTGTTATGCAAAACATTTTGTGAACATCAGCGGCGTTTATGTCTCTACTGAAAGACATTCGACAAATTCTAATTGGCATACTACAGGAATCGGTACATCCTGAGATATCATGGCAATTGAAACTTGTTATGATTTAGCTATTCGCACGCATGAAAATGAATCTAATATCATATTTCTCTGTTGTTAAATTTAAAGTATGAAATTTATATCTATTGTTTCATGCCGAAATCTATATGATTTTATGTACTAAAGAAACTGCATTCCTATATTATTAAGTTATTCAACAATCAACTGATAGCCGTTATGTTCGCTTCAATTAGCATACAATGATTTCATTAAATAATAGAATGACATATTTTATTTCATTACTATTTGTAATATTTTCTTTCGATTTTTTTAATAGTATTAAATATGTACTGCAAATCAGCAGCGAAAAAAAGAAAGAAAAAAAAATAGATAAGACAAACGTGTCAGCTACAGATATCATGGTGTATAGTGCGTAAGGTGAAGGATATTCATTTTCAAAGACATTGATGAATGATATGGAATTTTATCTTTAACAAAAAAATCGAATACAAGATGAAGCAATAAGTTTCATCGGATTGCAATAATTTCAGAAAATTCACGTTCTATGAAAAGGGAAAAACTGTTTACAATTTTTTTCATAGTAAATTTAGAGTTAAAATAAATTTTAATCTATCATCATTGAAATGATTTTCACCATTAAATCCAAGAAAGATTTTTGTTAGTTTAGTGAACTTTCACTTTTCTATTATGAATTTTATATAAAACGAAATCGTAAACTCGATCGGTTTGTTTTTACTTACGTAATCAACTATGTTTTTGTAAGATCAAATCGTCTTCAACTAACTGAAACCATTGAAAAATAAAATTCTTTGTTGAACTTTGTGCAATCGATTCTATACCTACGTCTGTCTTTACGTTTATTGCGTGAGAAATGAATAACTTTCTCCCAGGAGAAGACTACACACATGAAAAAAATTATATATTCCAGTCGACTATTTAAAAATCACGCGTATAGAAACATTCTTACTGATTCTATAGACTGATTGGTTCAAATATCTTGATTATCTTGGTAAATAAATATTTAAATCTCATCTATCGTTTTATATATTTTTCCTTCGAATCAGTCGATTTGAAGTAGTATGACATTGCAGACAATAAGCTTAAATTTCCAAGGAACACTTTTTACCTTTTTTTGTATAGAATTTCGTTTTGAAAAAAGATTTATGCACAGGTATAAAAAATCTGTTCAATAGTTTTAATATAGTTAAATGTATGAGGAAAAGAATGATTTCATGGCATAAAACATGATATTTAAATTAGTTTCTTTTAATTTTAAACCATATTTTGATTTTTAACCATCGTGAAGCCTCAATTAAAATTTATCGCACCTATTTTTCACTGGTTATACTTATGTCCAATAGGTAAACGTATGTCATTTTATTTGCTCATGTTACTTTTTCTCCCACGTTTCACGTCTGTTTTCTTTTCGTTGAAGAAAAAGACGTTTTTTTTTTGTTTTTGCTCACTGACCAACTCTTTCTCTCAGTCGATTTTTCTTTTTATGTTTGTTGTAACTTTTTATTCTTTTTGTTTAGCAACGATCTTTCTTTTGACTTTTAGTAAATATGAAGTTTATTCACAACATTCTATTTCATACTTGTGTAATAGTTCTAACAAGTATCTTAATCACAAACATAAGTAGGTGTAATATCTTCTTATAAATAGTAAATGTTCATTTCATTGTTGATTAATCGATTTTGACAGAGACCTCTGTCACGAGCATACGTGTGTATAGAGATTTATATCTGTTCATCGAAGGACAAGGCCAGACAGGTGCTTCTGTTTACTTTCTTTTTTAATCGAAGTCAGTTTTTCCTTTGTTTTTTCGAGTGGGAACACTGCAGTCAGGTATGAGAGCGAAGACGACCTGAAATTTTGTTTTGGTCCATCATCCCACGCATTGTTTACCACTTACAGTTGCTCTTATTGTAAAGATCCTATTAGAGGAATGAGAGAGAGAGAGAGAGAGAAAAAGTAAAAAAACAAAAAGAAAAGTCATGTCCGATGTTGTACGTTTTCAACATCGATACGAATTCATGTGAGCATGTTATATAATTGAAATGATGAGTCGTACTCAACAGTTTATTAGTCACAGCAAGTCAAGTTAATTTTGCCTGCTGTAGTTTTCTTTTTTTTTGTGATGATGTTTTGATTGTGAAACAAAACAATAACGAAAAAAACTAAAATGAATGATTCATTCCACCTGCTTAGTCACAATGTTTGAGTTTATTTTCTTTTTGCATTGATATTCTGCAGACGGATGATTCTATTTGCACTCGTTCTCTCGTTTGTATGCGCTACTATAGCCTATCAGTCTCTTCTCATTGATACCGTTACTATAACGGATTTAAAGTCTAATAGTAGTGAACTGCTTGTATGCGCCATGAATGTTCAATTAAGTTCATCAAACAATTTATATTTGCGTGGGAGCCTTTTCATTATAATTACATGGTAAATATTCATACTTGTTCACCTTTTCGATAATCATCATAGTAGGCAAATCGACTAACAATATATATATATAAATTAATCTATTGTTCGTTCAGAACAATCACGTCCCGAATCTTTTGTAAGATTCCTTCTGGGCTACAGATGTGTGCATTTACCGCTTGCTATTATTCATCATCTGTGGAATGAACGAAAGCATACCACTCGTTAATTTTTTCCTGTCTATCTATCCACCGGTTGCATTCTTTGTTTCTTCTTTTTTTTTGCATTCTCACTAGTCGCATGTTTGCATCTTTCATCAAACATTCGTGATGCAACTCAACAATGAATAAACATACTAGAAGTCAATAGTTGCCAGACATGAGGTCGTTCATCAGACTAACTTCAATGAAATTTTCATTCTTCACTTGATACATAAACGATGATTTTATTTCTTATTATCATAAATGTCCCTTTACTTCTGAACTTTACAAAGGTGATCGATTTGTCGTTTTGTTGATAAAAATTGATTTTATTTATCTGTTCTTTCTTCATTATAATTTCTCTATTGAAATTGTGGGTGTGAGTATATGTAAGTAACATAGTTTCTTTTCGATTATACGTACCCATCGGTTGAACTGTCTTTAGTTTTGACACAACGGAAATCGAACATTTCTCTGTCGCGCTCGTTTTTTTTTGCCATTCTTTTAATTGGCCTGTTGCATGGAGAGAGGAAGAAGAAAAAAAAGAAAACGAAGAGGAAGGGAAAGGTGAAGATTGCATCTTTAATGTCCTTTTGCTTGTGTAAAGAAGTACGATAAATAGTTGTGTGAATGTCTGTGTCATTTGTACTTAGTTGATGAGGATCTTCTATTTTTTTTTTTCATTTTTAGATGTTTTTTTCATTGATATAGAACATGATATTTTCGCTTTTAATCGATCTATGTTTAGTTCCGAATAATAATGATGGACATCGATTTCAAACAAGTTTTTTCGATTCTTGACGAAAACGACGAAGGCCAGATTCAACTACGTCGTTTCGTTGACGTAGCCAATAATTATTATTCAGACGCTGAAGTAAGTTGAATAGAAATTTGAATATAAACAATATGTACTTGATAGAGAAAAAACGTCTAAGCTTTTAAAGAAACAGAGAGAAAGAGTAATACGATATTAAGTCATACTTTTGTCAAGTAGACATAAAAAACCGACCTCATTATCTAGTGAGAATATATTTATATTCAAAATTTACAGGCGATTTTTGAAGTCAGGTGTGCATCTATACATATATATATATATACACACACACATATATGTCACCGCACATTTTACATGCCCCAGTCAAACGTAAAGGTCATCATTATTCTTTTGCTTTCCTTTTCTCTATGAACAATAGACAGAATTCAAAATATATACTGTGGATATATATATATATGCAAATATATTTTTGTTCTATTTCTTTTTTAGCAACTTGCTCGTATTACAAAAGCCTTAGATCCAAATAATACTGGTTTAATAAATTTTGAACAATTCTGCGACGGTATTGCTCAAATAAGTACATTGCAAGGATTAACATTAAAAGAAGTTGCATGCGATTTAACACGTCGCAGTCGTGAAAATTCATTAGTTGAAGATTCAGATCGACGAAGTTTGGTAAGAACGATTTTTTATTCATAATCGAAGTAGCAACAAATAGAAGACAAAAAAATCGATAGAAAACAAAATAAAGCCATTATTGTCGTCTTCTTCTTTTGTATTGTATAGAAAACAAAACATGGATTCGATTTTTCTTCGCTATCTTCTCGGCTTAATCTTATGCAGGAAGAAGAGGTGATAGTAAAAGAATGATTTCGCTATTGTTTTTGCTATCAACAATTATACTTTTCTTTATATACAGCTGCTAGAAAGTTAGTCGTATTTCTTTTTCTGTCAATGTTTCAGAATCAAGACGGTAGTACAACGACTTTCAACGAATACGACGTTGAAAACGACGATATATTCCATAATAAATCACACACATCAAATAATCGAACGTCTACATCAATAACTAATACGACGACTCCAAAAAAGCCTAATAATCACAATCAGAACAGTAATACAAACGATTCATCTCTATCATCAAGATTGAATTCACCATTGTAAGTTTATTACAGTTGGACTAACTGTTAGATATAAAATTAGAATTCGACTAGTGGCAAGTTAATAGAAAAAACGTGTGATATAAAAAAACGAAGAATAGGCAGAAAACCTATAATCGTATTGATAAGTGGTGTGAATATAGATGCAGTAAAAACAAATGACTCTCGTCAGTTGGATTCAATAATCGGTCGCAGATGCGATTGTCAAGGCCAGTACATTAAACATCAAGGTTTTTATAGAAAGAATAGATTAAAGTATTTCGTCGTCGTTTAAAATTTTTCAGTGTAATAAAAACCAAAATAATTTGTCGACTAAGATTTTTATTTTGTGTTTCGAAGTTTATGATACATCGTACCAAATTAGTTGTCATAAAAGTACTTTTTTTAATCATACGTCAAGATATTTAAGTTTCACGTTGATATGTTTCGATTTTGTTCAAAACTGATGAAAAAAAGCGTAAAGAAAAATAAACAGAGTTCAAGAGGGTTTCTTTCTTTTGAGAAAGAAGAAACCTTTGAAAAATTTCATGAACAGTTGATTTGTAGTGTTTCTATTTAAGTTAGTAAGCTGATATTTTCATTCGATAAACTAATTAAGAAAATAGAGTTACATTTTGATGGAGACTCTTTATAATAAGACATTATCTTCTGTTGTCAGAGAAGCAAGGCGATGGATTAGATGTATGATCTATGTTGAGTGTTATTATAAAAAATTTAATCCAAATAAGATGCAACATGAAGCGTCAAGACATTTAAAAAAAAAGAAAAAACCTTGAACGAACTTCTATGATTGATAACCTTTTTACTAAATTAGATAAAAATTCTTTGGCATGAACTTAATTTTGAAGAATATCTACTATTTGTGTTAATTGAAAATATTGTAGTTCTCTCAAGATTACACAACTCAACAATTCATTCATGAATTTGTTTTCTTGTAAAATCCTACTTATTCTCGAAAGCTTTTAATCGTCTTTTTTAAGTTACGGTGATGATGAAGAATTTAGTGGCGTAGCCGAATCAAATCCCACTGTTTATTCACCTGATACCGTCTATCCACGGGCTCCATCCCAACGTATTTCGTATGTTGTTTTCTTATTCGCCTATTTAATTTCTACGATTGTTTTGAAAAATATTAATCTTTAGTAATATACTAAAACGAAACAGTTATTTACCATCAATCACACCAGCTGAACAAGCTGACCAACAACTACAAGAAACAGTACGTAGACATTCAACGCTTATTTTCAATAAAAATCAATAAATCTGTTGTTGCCTAGGTTGACGACCTACAACTAAAAATCGAAACATTAACAGAACAAAAACAAACTACAACTGAGCGTTTAGCAAAAATTCAAAGCGAAAACGGTGATTTAAGGAGCAGGTATAAATTGAAAATTTTTCTTGATTCCATTTTATTTATTTTTCGTTGACTTTAAAGGTTATTAGCACTCGAAGATCGTTTTCACGATCTTGAAGGACAACAGGCACTTAAAGCACACAGTGAACAACAACGATACAACGAATATATCGTATGTTAAATAAAACAATATTTATATTCGTTTAGAATTTAAACATGCATTTTTCTTTGTAGAATCAAAAAGATCGCACATTTCTACAAGAAAAAGAAGTTTTACAATCAAGGTAAGACATGCATCTTTTTCTTCTTTTGTTTTTCAAAACTCAAAATCATTCGTTCATTGTAAAATAATCTATTTAATTGACATTTTCTAGTGTTATGAGGTTGGTGGGTTGTTTCTAGTTTATGTTTATTTCGTAATGCACTATTTATTATTTCTTCTTTTTCTTGCTCTTGTTTCTGAGTGTGAATATTCTTTATTCTTACTCATAGTTCAGTGTGTATAATATAAATACTTGGCGTTGGTCGAATTTTAACACTAGATATTCAAAATGAATAGACTCTTTTATTGTTAAATGATACTTTATCCTTTAGAATTAATGCAATCGAAACTGAACTTAAACAAACACATACAGTAAATGGACAAATGAAAAAAGATGTCAAAGAATTAAAACAGGTAATTACTATAGGTGATAATTAGTTTTTAATACGCAGACAAAATTTATAAGTATGAACGAGCATTCGATGGATGTTAGATTATATCTATGTATATTTCTTTTTAATTTCTTGAAAAATAAGCCAACTTGAAAGGGAAGCTACACTAATCGATAGATAAATCCAGATGTCTTATAAATAATATGAAACAAATTCAAGCTTATTACTAGAGAGCCATTGCGTTTTAAAGGTATCTATTACCATAATGTCGAAAAACCTGCAAAATGATGTTTTAAAATACGCTTAACTAATATTGTATATTTTATTTATTATTTTAGAAACTTGACGATGTTGATTTTCAACTGCGTGATAGTCAAGTTCGATGTAACAATCTTGCAGATGACAATGAAAAGCTATTAGAACAATTACGTCTTCAACGTGAAGAGCTGGCAGCAGAAAAATTGACAAATGCACAAGTAAAACTACTCACAAATTTCGTTTTTTATCGAATTAACGAAAACTTTCTTTTTTAGCTCGCTGAACAATTAACATACGAAGCATCAAGTAGTCAAGTCGGTCGTACCCTAAGTCGAACAGAAAGTATTATAAGAACGTCGGAAACTCGTATAGAAGATCTTATGGCGCAAGTCGAACAATTGAAATTAGTATGTAGAAAAAATTAGAAAAGGCTAATATAAGTAACTAAATTTCTTTTTGTGTTTTATAGGAAAATGAAAAACTTACATATGAAAACAAAGAATTACGAGAGCATGCTGTTGTTGCGTATGCATTTGATAAAAAATTTATTTGTGATTGTTTCTTAGAATTATATGTTTTTTTTTGTGTGTAGTGGTGTTCACGAAGGTCGACGATTAATGGCTGATCCTGGTACACCGTCATATGCTGCTGAACTTGAAGTTCTCTCGAAAGATGAGGTAAGAATTAATAGATCACTAGTCCGGAGCACGTATTTAGAAAACAATCTCATACTAAAAACAAATCGGAAAGGAAATTGACTTCCTGTATATTTATCGGTTGTGTGCACGTGTTTATTGGTTTTTAATATAAATTTTTTCAGCTAATGAACAAAGTGAGAGATCAATTTTCGATCAATGATCGATTGCGTGAATATATAGAACGAATGTTAACTGTTATCATCGAAAATAATCCTCAACTACTTGAAGTTACAACCGGTAGTGGTGTATCTATTGGTTCTATGGGAATGCCATCGATGAATTATCAACAACAACAATCATCAACATCGACAACAGATAATAAATCTGTTCCTGCTCAAGATTTAGTCATGACTGAGTCAATAAAAAATGATGAATTATCATCATCAGCTATATCTAAAGCACCCGCTGACAAGTACTGCCGCCTGTAACGTCGAATTTCTCCTTTATTAAAACTTAATGCTTCTTTTCTTACGAGCTAACCCAAGCCACATAATCTATCGTATGCACTCACTTCTTATGCTTCGATGTTGTTAATTTGTCGACATTTCTATGGGGATATAATGTAGAGCACTATTATATTTTTCTTTAGCATACGAATATCTTCATAGATTATTGTTTTCGCATGATTGTTGTCTTTTATTCTTCTTCAACTCGTATCAATATTTATTTTTATACGCTTTATTACGTTATGAATCAAATAGAACATTTGCTTTTCTTTCTATTTTAGCTCGTGAGTATGAATCGACGCTTACGTGAATATATTGATACTTTATTGGTACAAATTCTTGTAAATGATCCAACGATACTCGAAAAACACTAGGAACAAGATATCAAACCATAACACGAAAGTTCCATTGCCCACATTTGTTTTGCTTTCGAGTTGTGCTGCTTTTTTTATAACTGTACAGTTTCTTCATTTCGTCCAAGAGAATGTTTTTTTTCCCCATTGTTTAGCAATCTTATTTGATTGGTTTTTCTTTTCCATATTCAAAGCATATTTATATATTATACAAACAAACGAAGAACTATATATATATTTATACCACTAGTCGCTCTGCTGTAATTCATGATGTATGGAGATGAGTGATGATTGTTGTGTTGGTTCCTTTTTCGTTATCTTTCGATCGATCAGTATATAAATATGCCACTCTGAATTAAAAAGAAGTTCATAGATATTGTAATGATCTTGCTATCTGTTGTTTTTGTATGATCCAGCGAGAGAGATTTTTGTCTGCATATTTAATTAAATTGGCATTTCTTATGTTTCGTTTCGTTTTTTCTTTTCTTTACAAATCTATTTGTTTTGGCCCGGTTGTATATGTAAACATCTTGTACAGAGAAAAATAAAGAAAACGTTGGTTTTTGTTTTTGTAAAAAGATGGCAGGCGAATAGCAAGGAAATATATTGATAATTTTGATTGGATGTTATAATGACGTCAAGATGAGCTCAGATTTTTTATCAATGAATCATTCATTCTAGAGTGTTATAATCTTTTCCTATTCTTATTATTCCTATAAATACTGTATCGATCTTCTGCTGTCATCATATACAAAACGATGAATGTTCTTGGTAGTCTTGGTAAAAAGGCTGTGGAAAAAGCCTATGATCTAGCATCAAAAGTCGAAGGTGGCCGTGATTATTTAACCACTGCAGCTAATACAGTTAATTCATTGGTCAAAGGCAAAGATGCTCGGTAGGAATATTCGCAATTATATTACTCAGCAAAGAAAATACAACGGTTCAATATATATATATATATATATTTATTTATATTTCAGTGTTTATTTAAAACCAGGCAATGTTATACAATTTGTATCTCGGGCATCTGCTCGTTCAATACAAATCATTGTTTCAAAAGATACAAATGAATTAATATGTGATGCTATTGGTGGTACTGGCCCATTTTTTCCAAATGCATATTGGCTTGTGGTTTGCGGGCAACATAGTCGATTTTATTTTCATAACAATTATAATTATCTTGGAGTTAAAAATGGTAAAATTGCCATTATTCCATCATCATCTACTGAAAAGCCACCCAGCGAAGCCGAATTTCGTGTTCAAGATGTCTTAGGTTCAGCTCAAGCTATTTATCTTGAATCAGCAAATGTACCAGGATATTTTCTCAGTTTTGATGACGAAGGTACACCTGCTGATGGAGTTAAAACAAAGAATAAAGAAAAACTTTTTCAATTCGAAATTCAATTGGTAAATATATCTTTCTATTTTCTAATTCATGATATGATTTTTATTTCTTAAGATTGCTTACGGACCTGGTATTCAACCTGAAAAAGATGATAATACAATCGAAAAACCTACTGAAGCATCTCCACCACCGTATTGGCAAGTATCAGGTGGAGCAACATCAACATCAACCTCACTACAACAACCTCAAGCTACATCATCAACATAGACACGCAAAAAATTGAATTCAAATTATCCTATTTTATAGATCAAAAACTCAATATTATTATTCGTTTTTGTTTTTACATATTTAATATTGTATATTGTGTGTAGAAAACATTTCATTTTTGTTTTGTTTTCATTATGTAAACGTCATATACATTGATGATTTCAACATGGGCCAATTTTTATTGGCTAGATTTTGTTTTCTTGCTTAGTAAACGTGCACATCTGGCCCTTCTATATGTTTTTCGTACGAATCATCAATTAAGAACAAAACTATAAATAAATAAAAAGGAATAGATCTGGAAAGACTAACGTTCTTTAGTCAAGATAATTGGTTGTTTTAGCGTCGATCTTAGTATTGAAAGAGAAAATCTTCACTTATGGTCAAAATTGAAATTTAGATTTTGACTGATAGAATTTTTTTCGATGAAAAAATTAAGATTAAAAACATGGTATTAGAAGCAAGAATCTTAAGTCATCTTCTATTATGTGCCAGCGTAAAAATTTTCCAAAGGAAGTTTCTAGATATAGAATTTGTCTTATCAAAAAAAAAAATACAATTAAAGAAAATGTGAAATAAAGTTACTAAGACTTAAGATTCTTGCTTTTAATACCATGTTTTTAATCTTAATTTTTTCATCGAAAAAAAATTCTATCAGTCAAACTTTAAATTTCAATTTTGACCACAACATATACATGGATGTAAATAAAAGCATAATTCTATTCATCATAAATTGTAGAATAGAAGATAAGTCATAGAGAACGGAACAGAATATACTAGGAATATCCACGCAGGCAATTACATTTACAGTGTACGAATATCATTTGAATTAAAGGAATTGCTTTCGAAGAAATGTAATCATGGTTAGAAAAGAATAGCTGACTGGTTTTTCTTCTATTCACCGATAAAAGGTTTTTAGCTGGCCGTTTCTCATAACGAACCAACTGATGTCCGATCCGTAAATTGAATCGTTCCGTGTTAATCTGTTGTGTCCTTCAATCGACACAATAAATCAAATCCTTTTCAAATTTTATTAACTATGTACCGACAATTATTTTAAGTTTCATACTCTTAAAATCATGTTTAAGATACAATTTACTACAATATAACAAAACACAAATTCTCAATATTAAACATAAAATTACTCTAAATCTTCTAACTGTTCATTGAGCAACCAATGTTTTTCTTTCATACTTTTCTTTACTTTCTTTGGCTGGGAATAATTAAAAGACGATTTCTGTCTATACTGGCCGTCACATGTTGCCTCTGAACGATGTCCTTCTTGGTTGATGGTTGAATGACGTTCCTGAACTCTTACTGACGATTCTGTTTGGCGATATCTTGTTCGTTGTAACAATTCTTGTCGCTTTAATCGGTTGATACGAAGAAATTTAAAATCAGTTCTATATCTAGGGTCGCTTTCAAATTCAACAATAACTCGATCGGTGGATGTGTGTTTAAGTTTAAAACGTTCTGCTAGTATTTTTTTATATGCCTCATGTTCCTGTAGACATTGTTCCCATTTAGCTTTTAACTTTTTAATAACTGACTTGATATCAACTTTAACACCGACATTCGGTTGTATGCGAATTTGTAATGGACTATACACTTTTCCAGCATCGATTAACTGAAGTTTGACTTGATTTTTTTGTTGAAAAGGCTTGAGATTAGCACCGTGTTTACCGATGAATTTACCGATAGTAGCTGTTGTTGAACTGGATGATAGATTGATGACGATTGACGCAGGGTGTGGACCACGCACTTTCTTCGAGTTTTTAGTCACAATTGCAGAGGACTGAGATGTTTCTTCGTCTTTTTTCTTCCTTAAAATATGTTTGATATTTATATGATTTTCGAATGCTTTCACATTGGTAAATGCTTTAATTCGTGAACATCCTTCAACATTACATTTTAGGACACGATGTGTAACATTTACTGCTTCGAATTTATCAATACCATCATTATCACTGTTCTGTTTTGCAATAATGTCAAAATCAAATAGTTCACCAAGGAAATCATTATCGTTTGTTAAGTATCTTCTTGAACGCTTCTTGAAACTGTTGAACTTAACTAATAAAACTTGTTTCGTCGTGTCATCTTGTATAAGACCAAGGCCAGTATCTCTATTAAATTCAATTATATATCCTGAAGACGACTTCGTGGTTGTATCCATTATTTGTTAACAATATCAATGTAGACGAATGATAGACAATAAGCTATTTACCTTATATATATATACGTATATGTAGAACGGAATGTAAAATTACATCATTTTTGCGTAAGTAGTGTAAGAACGACTGGGGGAAAAAGATGACGAAACTTCAAAAGAATGATGAAAAGAGAATGACTCTATGGTTTGTTTTTGTCTTTCCATTGTGCAAGACGGAGAGAAACTCTGAGAATGTTCTAACGAAAATTGCATTTGTCTCACTTAGTAGATCACTTTTTTAAATTTGAGCCGTCCGTAACTTTGACAAGCCTCATTCATTTTTGTTCGAATTTTTATAATAGATATAGTTGGCAGAAAAAATTCTTCAAATGCTTTTATCAGTAAAACACCAGCTTTGTATCTCTATGTCGACTGTTACGAAAAATTTTACAGAACATTATACGACGTGAAAGAATATTTTTCAGTTAAACTAACGATTGGGTGTGGATGTGGGTACGAGTAATCATATTCCCTTTAATTTCACACTCACACTCACACCCACACCCTGCTTTTGAGGTGGAATTCAGTCTGTGTTTTCTATCTAGGCCAGTAGTGGTAGTAAAGGTTGTGCAGTGTGTATTAAATATTATTCTGTCTTACATAAGCCAAGTTATCTTGCGTTCCGTTGAAGAATTGCTTAGATTTTGTTTATTTAGTTCTACGACATGCAACATATTTGATCCGAAATCGATGCGCTAAAGTAGCTATGACATACTAATATGTTAATCAAATATTAGACAGTTGATTACAGTTGTCTACAATGTGAATAGTGGACGTTCAGATGGTGGAGGAGAAAATGTGAATTCAAACTCTTTTAATTCAGCCTAGCACATCACTTATGGAAGGCCAATGTTTAGGTGCTAAATTACCTGATACTGCTAATGTTGCTATTCAAATTGAAGATATACAAGCTCATGAACAACATGCAACTAAACAGAATGGTTTAAAGGAGAAAAGTATTCGTATTATTTCTAAATGTTCATTGAATCAAGAAATATTAGGTTCTGTATAGAGATATTGACGATGATATTCAAATGAGTGAATTTACTTTACAAAAGAACGTTCCTTTGAAACGTGCTGACCTAGATTTACTTGCTACAGTTGGACCACGAACAGTACATGTTTATGATAAACTACGTGTAGTCGTTCTTTCAACTGATAGTAAGGAAATTCATGATAGTAATGAAATCATGCTTATGAGAGTATTAAAATATACAACATACTATTTACTTTCATTGTGGCATTATATGCAACAAGTAACTTTGATTCGTATTCCGCATCTTTCCAAACAGCTATTTCAAGAATTTATTCTAGTGAAACGTCCGCTATTCAAACATTGCAATCTTATTATCCAATAATTCATGTGCAAGTATATATATATGTATACTTGAATTAACATACTAAATTTTTATTTGATCATTTAGTTGAATCAACCCATTGATTATCTTGATCCACGACCTGAATATATCCGTGTCATCATTGAATGGTCCACAAAATCTTCAATTTCCAGTAGCACGCATTATTTCAGCAGATATTCAATGTAGTTTACTCAGTGCTAGACGTTGTGAAGGTTTAGATGATTATAATCAACAAGTTGATTGATTTAAACTATCTTTACGATGGTACGTGATTTAGCATCAGAAAAGCTCAAATGACATTTTTTCATCGGGGCACATGATTTCTTTTTCTGGCGATTATTAAAAAAACATGTTGTGAGAAAATCACATTATCATTCCTTCTTGTGAATGAAACATTGAGTCTGCTAACTTCATATATCAGTGCACATCAACAGTCGAGTTTTTTTGTCACGTGAATGCTTCTCTATTCAACATAATCTCTCACAATTTTTCTTGATTTATAAATGGAAGTGTTGCCATCAACTGGCACATTTTCTTCATCACAACGTGTATTCGATCAATAAAGATTATTTACCTCTTGGTAAGTTTTTAATAAACAATCTTTCTGGATAAGATGTGAGGTATGATATTATTCTCAGTCTGACACATCACTTGTGTTCTATCGTTCGGGTCCATTCGTGGAGGACATCACTTCGATTAATTCTTCAAAGATAAAAAATAGATTAACAGTCAAACTTTACTTTAACATTTCAATTCTTTCGATGTCGGTTAGTTTGAGTTTGTTTTTTAGCATGTATTTATCAGTGAAAAATAATGATGCGGAGATTAAATAATCGAACTATTAAGTATGCCGAATGCTTAACGACATATGGAACATCGTTATAGACTACTAGACGTTAGTGCTCATTTGCATCGTATTTCAATGGTGATGAACCATTGGATATCATATGATATTTACCCCGATATGTTCAGTGCTTAGAGAACCATAACAAAGGTGAATTGCTTCACTTAATGATATTTCTTTAGCATTACAATATGCACAATTGAAATACTTTGTATACTGTCTATCTATTTTTGTTGAAGTTTACAATGCTAAAATCCTCCCATGAATCATCATTTTGTTCAATTTAACCCGCTCCACACCTCTAACACTGAGAAATGCGTATAACGATAATCGTTCGACTGGGCTTTGCTTAATGATTACTGTTTCTTCAGCATTATTCATAAGAGAAAATCTTTCTTAATTACTTAGCCAAAACGATTCATTTTGTTAAATTTCGATTCTTTTACCGATTGTTCATAGATCACATGAGGTTTTTTTTTATTTAGTGAACAATTCATTCATTCTTACTCGATTTCCTCAAAGATTTGTCTTGATAAACTATGATTACAGTGTAATCATTACACTGTTCAATAGTTAATAGCTAGAGTAAATATTTCTTCATCTTACCGAACTGATTTTTCTATGAATAGTTTTATTTTTTCACTGTGAATTAGGGGTGGGCTATATCTTTGCCTTTCATGCTTTGCTTTTTATTCGGCAAATGATTCGTTTAAAAATATCACTGTAAAATTTAGAATCAAGCAACTGTTTTTCAATTGAGTTCAATTAGAACTAAACAATATGCTCAATATTTTATTCTGGAACATAGAACACTGTCAATCGGATATAATAAATTACATGGACTACTATTGGTTAACCTTCTTTGAGTCTATATCATTTAGTGTATTTTATTCGTATTGTAAAATCTAATGAAAGTCGAACTACAGTAGAACATATTGGCAAGCCAATGTATAATAGGTAAATCTTCCATTTATGTCACTGTAATCCCACAACTTGCACGTATTCACAATAGTTTTATTTAAAACAAGCAAGCTAGTGGTTACAATCAATAATAAATTCATACGTATTCTCCATCGTCAAATGTATCGATTTGAGTATCTTTTAGATAATTACACTATAAACATTGGTATTAGACGATTTAACAGGCATTGACAACTTCTCATTTTTTTGTAGCTAATTTCCTCACAATTTTATCATCAATATTGCCAGTAGTTGGAGTTATAATATGGAAGCGTGAACACTATTGGATGCTTACATTTACTGATCAAGAAAACGCTATCTTTAGCAATCTAGTCATTTCTATGGAAATTGCACGTCCTTTGTGAAGAGATCCCAGGTCGAACTCACCCCATCGGATCCGATAATTTTCCGCTGGGATCCGACTGTCGGATTGTTCATCCTGGGATCCTTCTTGTATGAAAAGAGTAGAGACAAAAAGGATTTCGTACTCTGCATCTCCACGAATAAACTTGCTTATTACAACTTACCGAGAGGTAAATGATCTATACTGATTAAATACATGTTGCGATGATGAAATTGTGAGGGTTGATCGCAATATCGACCTGCCAGAGCAACATTTTGTAGTAAACAAAAATTAAAATGCACTATCGATCTATTGTACGAATTTATGCTTAGTAATTTGTATTCAAAATACCATGTTGCAAAAGACAAACTCATGTTTTTTCTAAAACTCTCCTTTTCTTGAAAATTAAGATGATAAGTAGGTTGTTGATGCCATTTTTCCCCATGAGAACGATCTGTTTATGCACACTATAAAACCACATCACGTTTTCCCGAATATTACTTTTCGTTGAGTAGCATTCTCAATATTCATTAACCTAAGGAGAACAAATGAATGAGCTTCCTTTTTGCAAGCTGATGCTTCACAACTATGTGAATGTTAGTAGTGATTGTGTTTTTGCAGTTTTATCCGTCATTGTTGAGCATTTATATTTTTTTAACGGAGAATGATATCCCTAGTCAACTCTCCCCAGAGAAATCCCCGGGGAGTCCCCCAAATAAAAAGTCCCCGGGGACTCACGACAGGGACTCCCCAGGGATTTCGTTATTTTACGGGGAGTCGTTGGGGGAGAGTCGATTAGGGATATGTTTCACCATCATAGGAATAGGCATCATCTCTTATTGAGAAAAAGAGAATAACCAGACAGTATGCTTCTTAACAATAGCTCTGGATAAATTCATTTATTAAAAAGTGTTGCTCTGGCAGATCGTTGTTTCCAACAGTCCGCACAATTTCGTCATCGCAACATAGTGCCTGAGAATGTTGTTTCACAGCTATTTTTTTCCAAACAAAAGCAAGCTGTAAGCCAGGAAACATATTTTAGGAATTGTATTAAAGCACGTTTGATACCATTCATCCATAGGTTTCATACCAAAGAAAAAGTATTATTTTGGCCTGATTTTGCTACAAGCCATTACAGCCACAAGGTGATGGATTATCTCGATGATAATGAGGTGCAAATGGTTCATAAAGAATGAAATCCTCAAAACTGTCCACAGCCACGTCCAATTGAAACTTTATGGTCGATATTAAGTGACATGGTATACGAAGGAGGCTGGGAAGCAGAAACAATCGATCAATTGAAGAGAAGAATTAATAAAAAATAAAAAGAACTTGACATGAAAGTTGTACAGTCAATTTTTTCGGGTATACGGAAGCAACGTCGTAAAATTGCAGATAAAGGACCTTACCATGCTTGTTCTTCTTGATTTTGTAAACATCATTGTTGATGCTACTTATTGTTGTGAAAAAGAAAAAAGAAAACTACTCTATTGAAATGGAAGACTAAATAGAATTTTGTGCAAAGACTTTTTACACATAGGTTATTTCTTCTTCTTTTTCGTTGCTAAAAAATAAAGAGATTGTTCAGTTTCTAAATTATATCGTTTTTCATCTAATTCATTATAATGTTTAAATTCAAGATAACCTGAATCATCTTCAGCATCAACTATTTCATTATTTTTTCTTCTTTCGGAAAACCTGCAATCATATGTTTAATTTCATTTGCAAGTATTTCTTGTTCACGAGTATAGTCGATTGTAAATACAACGACATCGCTTGAGTACGATAATCTTTAGTTAATTGACGCATTTGATTGTATAATGTTTGAGCTTCATCTTTATTTAATATTGATTCATCGAGTTTAAATGCAAAAATCAATATTTGAAATAAATTTTGGAGGTAAATCATACTC